TCACAGCCCTGACCCATCTCAGCTCAAAGGATCACAAAACCTATCAAGGCTAAGCAAACACCCACTGGCCACACAGAGAGCAGTCTTCACATCCAGAGCTCCTTCCCCTGACACTCACTGATGCTTCAGGATCCCCTGGCTTACACTCATTTTGGCTATCTGCCCAGTGCCCCAGGCAGATTTATAACTAAACCCCATTTATTTACATTTATTTTCACGTCATTTTACATCATTATATCCCCCATGTTTCCTGTACTCCAGAAAGTCTGAGAAGCATAAACTACAGTGAAAAACTACAGTTATGCCCTAATAATAGGGGAGTTCTCAAGTAAAGTTAAAAGTCACAAATATGGAAAATCTTAATTGAAGGAAAGCGTTTAGTATCCAGGTACCAGGTTTGAAAGTCTTCTTCTAATCTTCAGTTCAACGTTCAGAAGCAGCAATTCAGACCTTAGCCAATACAAGGCATAAAATACAGCACATTTAATAATAAAATACAACTATCTCTAGCTGGAGAGTTAAGAAATACTGTTTTGAGTGAGCACAGTGCTCTTCCCTATCGAGCTTTACATTCAGAGCCTCCAAAAATGCTGTTTCCCATCTGTGCAGTCTCATCTGTGCATCCCCCTCTCTCTAACGTATCTCCACATGCAGCAACAGCAGCAAAGTGGTTTTGCCTACTCCAGGTGCTTCCAGCAGGCAGCAACACTGGGGTGTGATCAGATTTATAGAGGAATCCATCAGTGCTCCAGGGAATAACTCCATAACCACACACAAAAAGAAAGGCTTAAAACCAAATAGAGCACAACTGCCTCTTCCATTAGTAAGGCAGATACTTTAAACAGAAAATATAATAAATCCATGTATTTACAAGCATTACTATGTCAGCAGAGCCAGAGCTCCAGCATCCATGGCTGCACCTTTAAAGGAAGAATCTGAAGACCAGAGAAGCAGCATGGCTTAAGGTAAGGACAGGAGATGGGGAGCTTTATGATTTGGGCATCCCCTGCACCACCTCCTGCTTCCACTCTGACTTTGGCCACGCTCTTTGGTCTCTGTCCTGGCTGCTCACACTTCAGAGGAGGAAGAATTCTGCTCTGCTGTCATCAAGGATGGGAGAGTAACAACAGCCACATCTGAGTGTGTAATCAAACATTCAGCTACAGAATTCAAGACTAATCAGCAACCCAACAGGGTTGATTAGATTGAAGGGAAGCAGTAAGTTAATATACACACAGATATTCCTCAAGGGAAACATGCTCCAAAATGCTGCTGTGAAGCATTTCATACACAGGACTTGAGAAAACTCCCCATCCTACTGGTACCCATCAGAATAAATGTAACCAAGTAACCAATGATCACATTACTCCATCTTCAACGATTAATGATTGTCTATTAAATCAAAGGAAAGATCCAACTGAGTAATTTGCTGTTGGCACTTGTCAGCCTTGAAGTGACACTGCCAAATTATCTGACAAAGCTCAGCACAGCCTGATATAACTTCCAGTTTTTGGAAATCATATCAACACAAATTGGATTAAATGAAAACAGACAGTACTTGAAACACGTAGGACTTCTGCTAACCCCTGAAACAACTTCCAGGAGAGAACTCCAAGACCATGACAGCCCTGTGAACCTGCCACAGTTTCTGCCCTCGGGCTGGGCCATAGACTGTACCCTGCTATGATACTCCACAGTTTAGGACACACTTACAACTGCAGAGTATTTCCACAAAACAGAGTTAATCTCTAGTAACAACCATGCACAGAGGCTTATGGTTTTTTTAACTTTTCATATGATAGGACTACTGAATGGGGAAGATTCACACTTTGATCAAAACATATATTTAGATATAAAACCAAAACAAACATGTATTTAAATATATTTTTAACACACACTTTTCTGATAGCACTTTCAAGCCCCTCAGCATGTTTACTGGCTCACTCCACTCTTCAGCTCTGCTTAGGAGACCTAGGAAGTTCAGTTCTTAATAGGAGTGCAATCATCAGATAAAGAACCTACAGAGGATGTAGAAAAGTAGATTTGCTTATTGCCAACATTGGGGATTTGTCCTGGCTGCCATTTCTAGTGGTCTGTATGAAATGATAGGTCCCTGAACCTCTTAAAGATAGAAGAAGGTGCTATTTCTGTGTAAGAGAATGAAATTATTTAACCTGTAATGACTAAAGGGTCAGCCTCCTAGTAGTGTGGAGAGAACTGCAACAATTCTGTCCCACAGAGGGCATGGTTGGTTTGTCATATCAGTGACTGAATTTGGATTAAGTTCTCCTTACACTTCAGTTTGCTCTGTTTTTTAGCTTGTTTATCAAATTATTGCAATGTTAACCTCCTCTTCCTGAACACAACATAGCCAGCAAGTAAGTTCTTTGAGAGTGTTTACTGTTTGACAATCAGCTACAAAAATCCTCTCCAGAATGTCCAACAGTTTTCAAAAAAAGACTTTTCCAAGTAAGAAAGGCAAAAGCTTTTGTCTAACTCTAAATCCCTTTCAGGGAGTGAAATTCACGTGTAGTGACTCAGAGCTGTGCTCTGCTTGGAACACCAATAAAAAAGCAGCAGAACACTTTGGCACAAACTGAGCTGGAAGTTAACAAACTGTGCAGAGATGCAAAAATAGACACAATCTGCTACCCAGGTTTAAGTTTACTATGCTGGAAAGTTTTGACTCAGTTTGACCCCCCAGATCCACAGTCAGCAGAACTAAGGTCAGAAGAGGCAGAAGCTGTGGGTGTGCCCACGGTGGAGCTGTAATTGCTGTCTGCTTCCCCCAGCACACACAGCCTGCAGAAACTACTGGGAACATCTGCTAGAAACAGTGTCAGCTATCCCTGTTGAAAAGGGAAACCTAGAAAAAGTTTTAAACCCATTTTCATTAGAGCACCCTCAGCCTTATGACCCACTTCTTCCTCCAAATGCTTGCTATACAAAAGAATCTTTTTTAGAGGCATGTTTTAGAGTGGAGGACTTTAACATTTGAAAATTTATTACCACTTTCTCTTCCAAGTAACCTGTGAATTTATGAACATATAAACCACATTTCTAACTTCTTTCAGTTGATTAGATTCCTTGAAGTCCTGCACAACCAATCTGACATTTGAGTGAAACCCCACATTTTTCCTCTTTGAAAAGCATACATCTATTAAAGTAGATTAAAATACATTCCATGTCTCTGATCACAATCAGCATTGTACTTGGCAGTTCAAACCTATTCTTCTGAGCTCTTTTTTTCCTTCTCCCATTTGGTGTATGCCAAAATTAAACATCTATGGAAAGGAAAAATCATGTTTAGCAGCCTCCTTTTCTCCTGCTAGATAGTACGTGAGAAATTCCATCAACTAGGATCAATTCTTGAGTATTTCACAATCTGTACAAAAAAACTACATAATAAGGATCCCATAAAAGGCTGGAAGAAAGTTGCTGAAATTCAGTGGGCTCTTTAATATAAGTGGTAATATATTAGCATTTGTTTCATACAAGCACTAAATATTAGTTATTCATACATGCATTTACTGGGCATTTGAGTTACTTAAATTTCCTCTTCTGTGAGCCAAACAAAGCTGCTAACATAAGAGCCCCTTTGATATTTAGGCTGAGGTAAGCAGATTAGTTGCAAGAAAAACACCAAACAGGTTGAGATTTTCAGACAAGCCTAGAAATTTAGACACATTTCCCTTTCACTTAGTGGAGACTGCATATAAAAATCTGAGACTATTCGAACAAAAAAGCCTCGAGCACTTGGTATCTTCATGTCCCTAATTTTCTTGCTAGGAAGCTGAGAGGAGGCTATATAACATTCTGCAAGTGGAGGAGGGAAAGAAAGGCTAGAATTGTTAACCAGGGCTGTTTTTACAAGTGAGTTTTGCTCCTGATAGCTGTATGTTGGGGTGCTGGTGCCTCAGGGGTTTGATGAGGAGGGCACACAGGGAGGTTTTGGAAACATTCTGAATTTTGACCTAGAGGCCAAGAAACCAAGCTGGAGGCCAGCTGGTCCCCCAGCCCTTCCCAGCCTGCTGTGGAACAAAGATGCTCTGTGCACTCCAAAGCTTCCTGACATCTCTGCCACAGGCGACGCACCCTGTGAACTCTGGGCCCGAGGATGGAACCTCTGCTGAAGAGTGTAAGCTCCTGCAGTGACTCTACAGCACATTTCTGCAGCAGCTCCCACTCAGCAGAGAACACCCCGTTGGGTCTGGGGGACACAGGCAGCAGCACCCAGCAGGGGAGGCACCTGTAAGCCACGAGTGGCCAGGTTCCAACACAGCAAAGTCCATAATACTCCTTCAGAAAGAAGGCTCTGCCCAGTGTTCTCTCATCTGGAAATCCAGCTTTTGGATTTTACTGCTAGCAGTGCCAGGCCAAGAGCCTCCCACCCACTCCCTTTTGAAACCAGGCTGATGGGCTGGATCCCACTGGCCGGTAGGAAGGTTGCTGCCCCACCTCACAGCAGGACATTTGTCTTCTCTGAGGAGCAGTACTGGCAGTGACAGAACACAAGGATTCTGCCTGATCTTAATGTGTAAATATCCCATTTCTCCAAAACAAGAGAGCACCACGTTATCACCCACTGCATCACATTCAACACACGGTGCCCCCACGTCCTGAGCACCCACCTACTAACAGTGGATCTTGTGGCAGAGGAATCTGACAGATTCAGACAGCAATCCAAACTTCATGTGACCTCAAAGAACTATTTCCAGAGGACAGCAAACTTGAGATAAATGATTGAAATTTAATGCTTTTCCTCTATGTAAAGAGCTTAAAAGTCGTAAGTTAAACAAAAAGAAAACTCCAACTGCTGTTTTGTTTTTGTAATAGAATAAAGAAAAAACTACAAGTCAGTATTCAGGCTCTGTACAAAGCTATCAAAATTGATGGGGAAAAAAAACCCAAATATCAATTGTACACTAAAACTTGTCAAATAAAAGGCAATGCCAAATTCCTAGATGTCAAATATACATAAAACAAAAATATGTGCTTGCCTTTTTGTTCCTTCACATAGCTCTCCTTACAGTTGTGCATGAGCTGCAGAATCCACTGATGTTGAGCACCAATGCACTGCCAAGCAGGGTCCCCAGGCGCATGAAGATCAGAAAGATATCTGTAAAACCCAGTCCAAAAATCACAGCTCTGACTTGACACACTGAAGGCCTCATTAAAACAGACCAAAGATGGACCAAGAAATACTTTTTTAACGCAGCTTCAAAAATTATGGAATAGTTGTTAAGACACACTCAGACCCAACGCAAACACAAACTTTGCATTCTCCTGTCCTCATTCAGTGAAGAAAAATTCCATTTAAAAACTTGTAGAAATAAACAACACCATATATATTTAATATCACATTAATATGTATTTTCAGTTGTGTCTCTAGTGAAGTACTTGGGAAACCAAGCTCTGTATCTGTCAAGGCTGCAGTTCAATACTTCTTGTTGCCCTTGGAATCAGTGATGACATCTCAAACACACAAAATGTGGTATTTTTCTTCCCACTTTATGTGTCCTGATCGTATCATCATGTAACATTAACAAGTACAGAAGGAATTAATTTTTGGTGGCTCGTTAATTTTAGCACAAGCTTACGCAAACAAATGCAAACCCAGCTCCTTAAGGGGTTTGGTTTTCATTTTGTTTTGTTTTTTTCCCCTTAGGATGTCCACAAACAGTCTGAAAAAAAAACCATGAGGGGAGAGATGATGGAAAGGATTGAGACTTCTAATAGGCAGAAGCAAAACATCCTCTGTCGTTAGGGGGAGAGGTATGAGAAACCAGCTGGTGTGATTTTGAAGAGAACACAGAAGTGCCATAGTCTAACGTGTGGCACTCAAGATGATCTGACAACAGAACTCTCAAAAGAGTATTCTCAGCAAGCAGCAGCTGCTCTGCTACTCAATGTGCTCCATTTACGTTCTGTGTTAACGAGACTCTGGGCAGATTACAAAACTAAAGATGCTCAAGGTGAAGTACACTGATTTATGACCTGCAGCAGTGCAGGGAATGTTTGAGGCCTTCACAGAAGCTGCATTACTACAAAAATACCTAACGTGAATTAGGACTGTGTTGCAAAATCCTGTCTTCTTTGAGAACTGTCTGCAGTACCTGAACAAAAAATAAACTGCCAAAGTAGGGTGGGTTGGATGGGAATATTACACAACCAACCGTTTTGACAGGGTGACATTTATAAATTACAAACTCCAGCCCTTCCTTCGTGCTAAGGGAGACTTCAGCCTTTGCTTAGACACAAAATAAAAACACCCCAGCCAACCAAAACCTCGGGAAAAATATATCTGCTTGGCTGCTAAGGGATATGGCAAAGTGTTTCTGTACAGCATAAATTAATTATCACTGTAAATACCATAATAACATGAGAAGAAAATACCAGTTGAAGCCTAATTATAAACATTGAATATCTGAGGGAGAGACCAACAGTATATCAAGTTTTGCTCAGCTTTAGACATCAGAGACACACAAACCCAATATATAAAGGGAAAAAAAAAAAAACCTCTGGAAAATAGCAGGTTCTACACAAATAATTTTACAATTTGGATTTTACCAATTGCCTCTTAGCTGAAGTGCTCTGAAGAGAGCTTTCTCTACACCCTCCAGAAAATTTAGTGATTATAGCAGTGAAACTAATTTAATTGCTTTGTACAGTGAGATTCTGTTAATTCATTAGAACTAAATTATTCCAGATTTGTCCACTCCCTGCTCTCTTTCACTATGCTGTTCTACATATGGGATGCATTTGGGAGTTACCCTGACACAGTCTGCCTTAGGCTGGGATATTTTTAAAGATTCAGCACTGCAAGGTAAGGGGCTAGAGAGTAACAACAAAAAAGAACCCCCAAACCCCAGAATCAGACTCTGATTCTTCCCAAGAATCCTTAGAAGAGGTCATACGATGTGGCTCAAAGAAGCTGGTATTTAAGGTTTTCAGGACTGAGACAGAAAGGAAACAGTGGTGCCTTCTTCAGAGACACAAACCGCTGAACTACGCCCCTCAAGCAGCAGTTCCAACCGACAGGTCTATCTGTGTGGCACCCAGGGTGAGAAGCACTCCACATAAACCTACACTGGGCACTGTCCTTATAAACCACATCAATGACATGAGAGGACTTCAGGTACCAACACTGCCCTTTGTCCTGGGAGAGGGGGCCAGCTGAGTGTGCAAACACCAGAGACCTCAGGCAGGTGGCAGGAGGGCAAGGCTGCTTCTCACAGAGCACGTGGGCTGCATCTCAAAGATAACCAACAAAGCACTGAAAATGGCAAGCCACACAGGAGCCCTAGTAATGTCCAAATCTCCAAAGCTTTCCAACTAAAGCCATAAAATGTTCCAGGGTGCTCTCAAGTTTGGCTCCAAGGACCATAAATTAACTTGCAGTCTACCAGTAGAAGAAGGTCCAACCAACTCATGTCAGTATGGCCACAGACTTTAAAGCAGCTTTGAGAATGACAAAAAAAATCAAGGCATTTCAAAGAAAACTGGGGAACTGGTTCATGTTCATGAAATAAAGGAATTATTTAGATTGAGTAGTAAAAGAGCCAAAACCAAAATGAAATGACAGTCTGGGTTAAAACCTCCTTATTATCTGACTGAGGATGATGTCATTTCAACAGCAAGTCAAGCTGAAGTGTAAGACAAGCTCATAAGGAATCTATTTTCAAACTGTGAGTGATCATTTCAGACATAGGTTGCACTATGGTGGTTCACAGGAAGTGACAGACTATAAATGTGCCTCAAAGATTTTAAAAAATTATATTCATTCTCAATTACCCTTCACTAAAGTGTTGTCATTCAAAACCGATTTTTCAGTCATTTAATAAACAATCAAGTACCAATCCACTGCCATTATTTATACAACCATAAAACCTCAAGATACTTCACAGCTTTATAATTAGTGTGGAACCCCAGTAAAACCAGTCACAGTGCTATTTAGGGGACAGAGTCCAGAGAGACCCAACACCAGTCAGACAATACCTGATGTAACGCTTCTGATCGTGCAGCGTCGACGGAGTTTCAAGCAGCTTCTCCAGCAGAAGTTCTCTCAGAGCTTCAATTCTGGTTTCAACTTCAGCATAATCTAGGAGCAGGGAGAGGAAATAAATCCAACGTGTGCCTTCAGCAGTGGTATGAGCTGACAGTTGTGTTATTTTTCTAGGACACCAGACACCTCTGGAGTTAATGTGGGAATCAATAGAGCTCATTTTATAACATGTCACATCTGAAAATTTTGTATATGACCATTCTACAAAAAGAAAAAATTGGACTTCAAAGTCTTTCCAAAAATATGCACATAAGAGATAACCAAAGTCACACTTTAATTACTGTAACACTTTTTTTGTTGTCCAGTAATAGTAACCCTTAATGAATAAATAAAACTGGCTGTGATTTCACTTTTTGTACTACATACCTCACTGGGAAAACTTGCCAAAAATACTGCTTAAAGTAATTGGTTCCTACAAATCCATAATCTCTATAGGTTAAAATCCACGTAAAACCCACATAAAGCTCTTTAAACTAACATGTACTTTTTAGCCTTTAAGTTACAAAACACAAAAGAAGCAAATAACAGAACTCATCTCTTACATTTTTTGAACACTTGAACCTCTGTCTTTCCAAAGAGTGACTTGGCTTTCTCGTAGTCATTAATAACCACATCATAATCACCCTTAAAAAACAAAACACAGACAAACAACAAACATTTATATTTGTCAAGAACAAGGCAATAAGCTAATTTCAGCAAAAAGTGTTTTGAAAGGACTGTACCTTCTGGATGTTTCTTTCAATATTCAGGGGCAGGTTGAAAAGGAATTTAAAGCGCTGGAGAACATTAAGTGCGTTTCTCGTGGAATCAGCTTTGTCCTTGCGGCCCAGCACCTCCTGGAACAAGGTATCTGCTGTGTTACTGGCTCCTGTTTCAACGGGGATGAAAATCAGCACAAGGAGAGTAAGCAAACAGTTCAAAGGGCATACAGACTTCCCTCATTTTAAGGAGTCATTTAGGGTCTTTTTTTAGAGCCAATGAGTAATTAGTGCTAAACTTTGATACCTTTTTGTTGAACTGTGTTAACGTTTTACAACTGCTGAAATCTGATTTCAAAGCGAGCCACTTAGCATTTTAATGTGGCAAGACCCCTGTGCAATTAAAAACAATCACTTCTCCCCGTTCCAAACGCTTCACTTTGCTGCAGATATTTTATAGTTTGCTTTGGCTCCAGATCTACATTTTACAACTAAATTATGCATCTCAGGATATGGAAGAACTCATACGAAGTTTTCCTTTTAGAAAAGTATAATTTCATGACATTAATTAACGTCACAGATTTAAGGGTTATCACCGGGTTTTGCAAACATTTTTTGTGTGTTTTCAAATTAAGCCTTAAAAATCCTTAACCATATTTGAGCTTTGAGTCACTTACAAACACTGATGATTAAGTCAGAGACAATGGCACGACTGAAAACACTCTAACTAGCCAGTGACTGCAGCAGAACAAGCACAAATTGTCCTCACATTGCATTAAAAGTCTTTGCCACATACAGGACCAAGCCTCGGTCAACAATTTCATGCAATGAAGTTTCTATACTACTTGTGAATATTCTTCAATAAATACATTAAATAGAGCCTTAAACCCTTTTCTTTCCAGACTAAAAAGCATTCCATTTTGTAATAAGGCTTATTTCCTAACACAGAATTTCAGTTATAGTAGGGAAGATTTACATCGCCTGTGAATATTTGCATTTCTCAACTCCTGACTTATTTTTAATTAACCAAAAAAAAAATAAAAGTGGAACTGTTTCAGCCTTTTTGATCGTTGCGTGTAGAAGTTTCTACATTATCTGGTCTAGTGACTATACTTTAAGCAAAGATGAAAAAAGCTCCCCAGTCTCGCTGGGTGGCTCGCATGCCATTTTCCCCAGTCAACACGGTGGGTGGCCTGCTCATGTTAAAAGTAGTCTTTGTAAAATAATTGTTATATCTAAATAATGTTTAACTTTGTTGAAATTTTGAAGCCTTGATGTAAAAAAAAAGCTCTGTCAGGATGGCTATTTCTGCTGCGTACTATTTAGCATAGAACACTTGAATCCATTAAGGAGAAATGCAGAAGGAAAACAGCCAGTGGACATTTAAATACAGCCCACTGACAAAGTAGGGGTTTTCTTTGAGGTTATAATAAATTCTTGTTTCCTAAACCCTCCCAGTAAGTAACATTTGTTTTGTCTGAATTCGTATGGTTCTTGTCCATTCATTTTAGAGCCAGGAAGCAAAGCACTGTATCTGGGAATTAAAGTCAGATTCCCCAAGCCTTTCTTTAACTACAGTTTTTAGGAGGTAATTGGCAACGGCAGGAAGAGCAGAGTGATTGCCACCTTCAGTTTAAAGCTACACACCTCTACCTCCATACCAATTCGTTTGCTGTAGAAATCCTCACTCCAAGGAAATTATTTTAACTTTTTTTTTTTTTTTTTAAGGGCATTTTTTCTGTTTTAAACAGAAATGGAAATATAGCAAACGATTTATTAGTGTCTTAACGAAATTCAATACAGGTCTCTCTTTAGACTTAAAAAAATACTGTAAAATTTCTTCCCTCCTCACCCCTCCAAATCCTTTCTACATTAACAGTCTTCATCTCTTGATTACTGGTGAATAATCTAAACCTAAATAATCCATGGATCAAGATTCAGGTCCACGTTGACTAACTCTGTTTTCAAAACAGATGACTCATCTACTGCATGCAAATGTTTTTACTTCAAACTAAAGCTCAAGTTCTCCAGCAGTTGTCTTTCACAGAGCCTGACAAAGACACCACATAATGGAACTTGATTGACCCCCTTTAAGAGACAATTATTCACAGAATTCATTATAGCACACCATATGTTTTTATAAATTTATGTTTTGTGGCTTGTTCAGCAATTAGATTAGCAATTTAACAAAAACTCCAAACATTTCTATACCCATGTCTAACACCAGATTGTACTTTTACTACCCTATGCCACTCCAACCCCATCGTCTGGCACACTCCTAATGTACATGCAGATGCTGCAGAGAACATCCTTATTCTTAGCATTTTGTCATCGAGCTCACAACGTCAGTTGTCTACCAAAACATGCACCTACAGTTCACAAAATGTAACATTCTACTACAGATTTGAAGTAATTTTTGAAAGCAGGACCTGTTGCTCAGGGACTATGGAGGCTTTTCATATTTTTTTTTTTGTTTCAGACAAGAAACAAAGCTTTGATCCTAAACTACTCTGCATAATAGTATTTACTCTTCTTAAATCCTTGTGTTCCTGCTTCCCTGCCTCCCACCCATCGTGACTTGCAAAGTATCAGGAGGAAAAGCAGCCAACTCTTCTCCCAGCAGAGGCAAACTTAATACCACTCTGGAGTGCCTGGCACAAGCTCCTCAGCAGATGGAGAGGAGTCAGTCGGTGTTATCAGTGTACAGACTGCAGCCACCATTTATCACATCACAGAGATTAGATACCACAGGTACATTTGTCTCCTCTGTGTGTAGGAAAGTGTCACAGACCTGAATTTTTTGCTTTTGTATTTAAACCTGTCACGCCGTTTTGTCAAAGGGAAAGTGCTCTCCCAGGAACCTGAGCTGGGTGCATGATCTGGCATAAATACAGAGCACAGAGGCTTGCACTGGCAAGCTTCACCAAGTGCCTCCACCTCTTATCCTCCATGTATCAAATATTCACACACAGACACACACTACAGCCTTTTTATAGTTTTCTGTGTTCTTTTTTCATTGTGTTTGTTTGGGTTTTTTTTCCTTATTTTTACTTTTTGGTGGTTTGCCTTTTTTCTTTTCTAATTCCCAGCACCAAGAAGAGGGAATAACAATGATTAAACTACACCTTTACTGTGAGTATTAATGAACCTCTGCTGAAAAGAATGAGAGCTGTTCACAACCCCCTGCTCTTTGTGCTCCCCACGCAAACACACATACAGTCACTGCTTCCTTCATTCCAGAGAAGAAAAACAGTGAACTTCCATGTCACTGTCTTGATTTCATAAAACACACTCAGACTTTCCAGCACTGAGTCAGCTATCTGCATGTCACTCCTGCTTATTGATACAGCACTAAGGGAAACATCCCTTCCTCTGTGAAAAAAATCACAATGAAACAAAGTAAAATTATCTTGGCAGAAGTCCCAGAATTAAAAAGAGAGTCGCTTTTTTGATCTGATGAAACATACCCAACTGCGGCAAATTCAAGGCACCTCTCTCAAGGCAACCTTACAGCTAATACAGAGAAACAGAAAAGAATACTGACAGCTTTTCAAAGTTTCTAAAGAGAATGCTAATTCCAGGTAGTCTAAATGGCAGCACACAAAGTGAAAAAAGATTCTGTGAATAGACCTTATTATTGCAAACAGCTTGTGTTTGGGTTCTCTCCTCTTTTGCTCAGGCTTCTTACAGTCCTGGTACTCAGCTTTGCTCATCCTACACTTCTGCCTACCCATGTAGCTCCTCTGTTTCCTTTGTCCACTCAGACTTGAGATGCCACCAAAATTAGAGTGAACGCTTTGCAACATCTCTGTTTTGGTGTTTATTCTCTTTGTTGTGACTGCTGAAAGTCATGGCAGAAGCTCCTGCTTGTTTCAAAAGGTGTTTATCACACCCTCAAATCACTCCCATCAAACAAGACAAGGTAGGAGAGGCTGCACTGTTTTCTGCTTTCTAACGTATTCCAAGGAACATATTAAAGCTTGTTAGAAAGTCTAAAGTCCATAAATAGTTGCTGCTGGAAGGCCAAGACTTACTGTTCAGTACATTCTCCAGTTTTTGCGTCATGGATCCTTCTACTTTTTCCGTTCCGTCCGCTTCCAGTTTTTGATGGATTGCTGGAATAAAGTGTCTAGTTAAAATGCAGAACATTTTAATAGGTGGGAATTCGTTACATCAAAGTGACACTTTTAAACATTTTTAAAATTAAAAATAAAGTGTTATTTTTCTTGTTAGACAAAAAAATACAAACATGCTTCATGGCAGCAGAGCCTCGTGGAGGATGGGGCTTAGAGCCAATGCAGAATTTTAACCATTTCTTTGACATAGGCTTCCTGTATCTTCTCCAAGCAGACAGGAATGCTCAAGGAGAAAGCAAACATGGACAGAATAATCCTAATTAGCCATCTCGTAGTACAAGTGTTAATTCAGTTGAGTATTTTGAACGGCAAGTATCATTTAATCACAAAATACTTTTGCTTTGTAAGGCACACTTTTTACACTGATCTCACCATAAAGGAATTATCAATATTTAAAGGGTAGAAATAATCTCATGGGGAATTGGCATGACCCCAAAACCAAGTGCTATAACACCCCCCCCACCAGCTGTTTTCAGACAGAAAACCTCAAAACTCTCCAAGCAGACAGCTGGGGAGTACCTTGCAGCAGCAGGCTGTGTCAACCCCACAGAAGCCCCACGATGCTTTTGCTCAAAGCAACACGAAAACCAAAGGCAGTGTGCTCTATTCTTCTTTTTTTGTAGATGTTAGGGGTTTTTTTTTGCTGTGCTAAAATGCCAAAAGCCCCAATTCTTGTTTCCCTGTGGTAACACTAATGGGCGTGGAAGCGTGTAGCATCAGTGTGAATTTGTTGTTTTATTGCAATTTCTCTCTCAGGAAGGGAGAGATTTCCCAGCACAGCCCGACTGCCCTGTACCACTCTGGGAACATGAGCAGTGCATGGAGTGTGGATCCTCCCTTCTTCTGCTTGCCCTCTCTTACAGCCCTCCTTCCCTCCTCTTTCCTGCTCAGCACAACCAGCCCAGAGCCCTGTTTAATTTTCATGCTCTTTTATTTTTAAGGTAGCATTCCTGTGTATATGCATACAGCATATATAAAACAATTATTTAAAACCATGATTTTCCTTTTATTTTAATCTGTTAACATGTGTAAAGTCTGCTCTATCAAATAGCCAGCCATCAGTTCCTGTCGTTTTAGACAAAATTAAGGCTTCTAAAAACTTCCTACTGCTTCCTGCTGGTTCTCAATGGAATAAAGCTCAGCTACCCTTGAAAACAGGGATGCTCAGTGCTTTGAAAAGAGCAAGTAACAACATATTTTAGTTCAAAACACAAATACAATTTTGAAACCAGTCTCCCAACTGTCCCAGCTTAGTTTGCCTTGGTTTGCAAAGCAGAGCAACGTGAGTCCCTCAGCTGGATTCTCTTAAGACAAAGCAAAACTCAAACATGCACCCCACGAGTCTAACTAATGTGCTCCAGGAGATGATACCTGGAATTCAACCCCCTGGGTGATACTCAAGCTATCTAAAACATCACCCCAGGCTGCACATAGTCTGCACAGAGAGCTGTCGTTGCCAGCTGTGTAGCATTCAGGTAGTAACCACATTTGATTTGATTTACTCTTATCCGTGTGTTTAATAAGAACTCCAACTGCTTGGGGCAACGTGTGTGTGACTGAAGGAAAGCAAAAATGTGAATGAGCTGTTCCAAGAGAGGAACGTGACAAGAGCAAAACCTGGTCTCACAGTCTGATGCCGTGCTGCTCAGCAAGGACAGTCACAGACTAGCATTTCTTTGGACAAACAGGCAGCAGAGAGTGAACCAAGATAGGAGCCAGCAAGGTAAAACTGCTTCAAAATGAGCCAGTCGTCAGTCAAGCCTGCAAACAGAGCCACTAATGAAAAACTGGCTGCATGTACTCTCTTTAATTCAATCGTGACGTAACTCCTCAAAAACCAGAAGCAAAGGGACACTTGCATGACAGACAAGCATCAGTTTGGGGTTTCTCAGACTCCCAGTCTGACTCAGTATTGAATATAGATCCAGTAGTTTCTTTTGTTTTAGTTTCAGAGGAAGTTAATTTAACAGACAATGACAACAGAATCTGCTTATTCATACTGAATCAGATCCTGGGTCGCTGACGTGCCCATCCTAGAAGGGGCCTTAGGGATGAAGCATAAAAGTATTCTATTATCTATAAAAAATAAGAATTTCATATTATATAAAAACATTCTATAAGAAGAAAAAAAAAACACCAAAAAAAAGGCATTGACCAGATAGAGGATCATTCCAGCCAGGTAAACATCCTTGCTCATGCATTAAGAGAGGTGTTAGACCAAAGGGCAGCTGCAGCCCCAGCTCCCCAGCACGCTGGCGTTGCCACTGGCCACGTCTGGACAGGAGGGGAAAGGCAAAGCAGGGACAGTGCTGCTCTACTCTGCAGTGCTGCCTCAGCAGAGGTTTATTTTCTGGAAATCATGCAAAATGTGTTTGTAACTGCACAAGAACTGTTGCCACGGTAAACTAGAAGTGAATCTAAATCTCAGATTTGTTCAACATCCCCACGTTTCAAAGACAACACAGCATCCTCTGCACTTGCCTTGGACATACAGCTGTGTGTTTTTGCACAGCTGAGTGACTGAAGTGGTTATTTCCCTGGTTTGGGGGTTTTTTTCCCCCCTTTTCACTTAAATAAAAAGAAACTCTGCAGCCTACAGCTCTTTGCAAAGAGCACTTCTGAAAAAGTATGTTCAAAGTAAGGTAATTTGCTGACTTTCCACAGACTCCCGTGCTGGCCAGGACTGGCTGATGCCAATAACCCACGGCCTGCCGACAAGCACATAGAGCAGCCCTTGGAGGAGGCTGCAATCAGAATTAGGGGAAATTAATCAGCTGAACTCTCGTCACTGACAAGTGGGTCAAGTTGAGGTGAGCCCAGCTCCCCCCGCTCAGTTTACGGCTCCCCTGGGCTGACGAAAGGCGCTTCCTGTGGAACATCTCTGCAGCAGTCCCTGTCTAACGGCCGGCCCAGCAGCCAGCTCCGGCACACCGATGCTCTCTTCCAAGAAATTCAACCAAAGAAACAAGGGTTCTGGTCTGTCTGACCTCCTGTTTCCTTTGTAAACAGACTCTGAATCACTGAACACAACACGCATCTCGGGATTGCTTTTTATGGGCTTGGTTGCTTAGTGGTGAAAATGTTAATGCTCATTTAAATGTGTGCTGCAGGGGGACCACGGGGAGGAAGACAAAACCAACCAGTTTGGTTACACACAGAAAGTGGCACTGACAACCACACCAGTCTCTTTTAGAAGAGACTGTGAAGATTAATACTTTTAATATCAAATTGCACCACACGTGCAGATGCTGTCTTTTCTTTTCTACTGTAATGAGTAAGTGTGAAGGATCTTTACCTGACAGAGCATCCTGTGCTTCAAAAAACGTGCTGAGACCTCCCTTCACGTAAGCCAGGCTCCCCTCATTTTTCTTATTGGCTTGTTTCTTCAAATTCACAACAGCCGTTTTGAGCTGATCAAAACTGAAAACAAACAAGAAAACTCCCATGACATTCAAACAACAAATAAAGTCAGTTACTGATAAAGAGCACAGGCTGCTTGGGGGAAACAGCCAGCTGCTTCTGCAGCCACCGCTGAGAGCTGAGGAGCTGCTGAGGAGCCTGCTTCTCAGTTTACTCCTAGGCAAAGGGCTTTTTTGGGTTTAATGCTACATGGAGGGCTCCGATCACTTGTGATGGAATTGACTCCTTTATAATACAAAATAGTCCAGAAATTTCTTGTAGAGACCCACTATTGCTTAGTTATCTGTCTGTACTACATTAAATAGGTGACAGTACAATTCTCTACACTTAGTACACTAGATTAACGATGGTGATGGTAGAAGTCTCTTTAATAACATTGGTTTAACTCTGCAGCTTAGCTCACAACCCTTTTTCACTTTCAGTTTCTGAATTCCTTCAATATTTTTACGTTTGTTTGGACACAGAGTGCAGTATTGAACACAGTATCAGTGAAAACTAAAGGAAATCTGAACAGATTCCTGCTTTACTAAAGTATGAGTTTTAGATGTGGTCTCCTGAACTGCTTTTGAAAGACAATTCAGAGGGGAATATTAACCACCAGCCCATCATTGCTGTTTGCATGGTGGGCTTCTTTTATCTTAGTTTCCTAGTATTTCTAGATTATTGCCAGTTTGCATTTGATTTCACATTTTTTGCAAGCACTTGCAATTATTTTAGAAGGCTAATGTTGTGACTAACCTTTCAATACTTAGGTATTTTTTTTATTGATGGTGATGAAAATGATGTCTATGCTACTAGATTTCTTATAAAAGCACTGTTATGAGTGAGCTCAGAAATACAAATATAATACATGATTTTATAATCCATGAACATCCTTACAGTCTTTTCTCCCACCTGCAGGCCAAACCCATCTCCCTAATACAAATGAATCAAAATAACCCTGCACTACACCTTGGTAAGGAGAGGGGAAACAACGAAGTAAGGAAATAAAGACACAAGACAATTCTACCAAGACTCTGCCCATTTTAATCAGTTCTAGGAAAATTAATATTAGGAGCACAACCCAAACTGTAGCCCAGGCAGGAAGAAGCTGCTGGGAGACAAAACACACTGCTGCATTTACAGGCATTTTCCTTTTTACACTGCTGAGGTCACAACACTTCACTTTATTTCCTGTTTCCATCTGCTGAAAAGAAATCCCATTTCTCAACAGCCAGCCTGATCTACCTGGGCACACAAGAAGTACTTCCCAGCAGCATTCCCAAAGTCACAAAAATCTGCACAGTTCTCTTGTTAAGCACTGTTTCACGTTATCTGATGATCTAACAGTAAGTCTAAATAGTTTATTTAGATTTGTCAGGATATTGCCACGGGTAAGAAAAAAAAAAAGTTATTTTGATTGCTTAAAAAGAATTTCCGCCCAGGAAAAAACAGATCTAAGGTAACCAAAACCTCAGGGCTCTGCACACAGACAGGCACTCCCAGCACCTGAGGTTACCCAGAGGACAAGAACTAAACCACTGCTCGGTGCTTCTGGGAAAACAGCACAAATGACAGTGGGCAGATGATTATACAATGCCAGAATATTTCCAAGACTGCATATTTTGAAGTCTGAAGAAAAAAAAAAACCCCACCAAACAGTTTTGTTGCTTCTTTATTTAAAAAGCTATTTATAATCAGATTGCAAACATGACTGGATTCACTCTACCCTCTGAGCCATTCTTCCTGTTGAGTTTTACAGCTTGTGCACCTTCCCCTAAGCTTTAGATTTTTACAAACCAATAGAAATTCATGAATATGAAAAAAAAAAAAACAGCTTTCATATAAAAACAGAAATTAATACTTTTATTCCACTGGACTGAGGGAACAGGACTTGAAACTGTTGACATGCAAAGACACAAACTGATGGAATCTTTTTTCCCAAGAAGAATAAAGTATTTAAACTGATACTAGACACAGTGTTAAAACCAGATTTTTTTTTCATAATTGGAAAATTCAAATTTACATGTGGACACACTTTCAGGTACTGACCCTTTGGCACAGCACAAGTGAATAAGGGGCCATACAACCTGATGTAAATATTTAAGTGATCAATTCATAGTGCTGGTGACCAGAAAAATCCATAATTTTACTGACACCCTGTGATGCTGGAGACAGCACTGTGACATTATGCTGTTGGTTATATTCCATGGTAATTCTGATTAAATAAGTCATTTAATCCGTTCTAAGAATTCATTGAATTAATTTTCCAGGTCCATGCATCCTTAAGGGTACCTAAGCCATCTCTGACAGACAGCTGTCAAATCAAACCTCAGCACTCTCCAGTGGAGATGATTCTGCAGCCTTCCAAGGTACAGGCCCAGAGCTTAAGGAATCTAAATATTGCTTTTAATCTGCATCCCACACAGGTCTCCCATGCTGCAAACTGAGGCAGCTTGTTCTGCCCTGGGTACATGGGAGCACTGGAGGGCTCTCCTCCAGCTCCCAGCAGGGACTGCAGAACATGCATTCTGCACTAGTTTTGGTTCATTAGTGTTCTGCTCAGTGTCCCTCAGCCTCCAGTCACAACTTAACACCTAGAGTCTTCACTTAAGGCCATGCTGCCTAACTCCATGATTCATTACAGGCTTTAGCCTTGGACAAGGAAGGAAAAACAAAACAAAACCAAAATAGAGGCTGTGAATCAGGTCTGCTTAAAAATGAAGTTATCCTTCCTCATAGCCTGGTTGATTCAAGTTTCCTGCCAAGCAGAAACACCACAGGCAGCAGAGACTACATGATTAGGACATGTCAACCACCAACATATCAACCACACAACTACTGTAGGAAGAAATAGCATCAAGTGACTTGCATTTAAAACAATTATTTATGACAGAACAAACCTTGTTGTTGAGTGATTCTCAATCAGGTACCAGGCAGCAGAAAAGTTTTCACTGGTGAAATCAGCACTCATCCCAGGAAACAGTGCCTCTAAGTCTTTCTGAGGAAACCTGCCTCTGAAAAATGAATATTCATTTTGTCAGTGAGACATTCTGGTGAACAGTTTACAATTAAAAGTGTCACATAAAACAAACAAACAAAAAAAACCCAAATCAAATCAAAACACCACCCAGCCCTGCCCAAATCATGTAAATATAACACGTAAATATAAACTTGTATCTCACCATGAAATCAAATCTGGTATTACAGAGCTATGTAGTATGACTGGGAAATAAAAGATCAAAATTTAATCTAAGCAAAACAAATGTCACCATTCTGATTTCATCATTACACATATGACAGAAATGTTCCCTGTACAAAATGCTTCTAAAGTAAGGACAACAGCTGCCTTCAGAAAATGAGGCCAGACAGACTCCCCATGATGCTAATATTCAAAAGCAGGACCTCTCATGCTGAATGTGCTCCAAGTCAACTCTGCCTTTTAAAGGGGAAAATCAGTACAGCAGCCCAAGTAAATAGTTATAGAATCTCTTTGGTTGGAAGAGGTGTTTCAGATCATCCAGTCCAACCATTCCCCAGCCCTGCCAGGTCCCCACTGCCCCGTGTCCCTCACACCACATCTCCACGGCTTGGAAACCCCTCCAGGGGTGGGGACTCCACCACTGCCCTGGGTGGCTGACCCCAGGATTCACCAGTGCCCAGCCTGGGGGGACAATCCCTGCCCTGCTCCTGCTGGCCACGCTAGTGCTGATCCAAGCCAGGATGCTGGTGGCCCTCTTGGCCACCTGGGCACACACTGGCTCACCTCCAGCCACCTGTCCACCAACCCCCATCAGGTTCTTTCCTCTGGGCACTTTCCAGCCACTCCTCCCCAAGCCTAGAGCATTGCAGGGGGTTGCTGTGACCCAAGGGCAGGACCCAGCACTTGGCCTTGACAAGAATATTCTTGAAGCCATAAACCAGTATCTACCACACTTTAAACACCAGGACATCAGCAGGTCGACAGCCTGTAAGTGATTTCACCCCCTCACTGCCCATGTGCCCACGTGCAGCAGGAGCCCCAGGGAAACAGGAAGGAGAGCTGACAGAGGGGTGTCTGCAAACACTGGGAGAAATGCCCAGTTCAAACCAGCGTCCTCAGAACAGCCCCTGGCTGCTGGCAGGGGGCACTGGGAGGGAGCAGTGGCCACTCCTGCTGCTCAGGAGCCCCAGGCTGTGTGCAGCCCTGCCGTGCTCTGCAGCTGGGACCAGGTCAGCCACAGGACTGCCTGTGTCCCTCTGTACTGCCCCTCTGAAGGGACACCAAAGCAACCAGCTCTTAGGGCTGGGTATGCTGCAACCTCAACCTTTCAAGCTAGCTGAAGTTGGTTTTGTTACAAAAACAGCACACCAAGTGAAACAAATCTAAAGGCAGGTGTGTTAAAAAGTACAATTGTACAGAAACAAGGGTTGTTTTCTGTGAGATTCTGCCCATATCCACAAGGCCACCAGCACAAGCAGGTGCAGAGGACCTATGTACATAATGCCATGGCACAGGAGTCCCTCCAACATTTCCCTGTGTTTAATGAGAAAGTGAAAATCTTAATATAAAAATTTATAAACATAAGTAGTGAGGGTCAGGATTACCAGTTGTCCTCTAAACCTTGACACCAGTGACCCTGAATTTCATGCATGCCACTCAGTGAGCAAGAACATACTGCTGAATGTAAGAAGAATAAAATTTCAGTTTCTCCTTCCTTTAAAGGCATTTTAAGAGACTTTATATTTCATTCAAAGTAGTCACAAGTGCCCAGCAGGCTCGTGAATTGGCAGGACAGTGATTCACACATGATACATGGCTGTCCAAAAATGCTTCTTTATTAAATCCACACGTGGTGGCATCTTTGTGGTCAACTACATTTCATAATGCTAAAAAACAAACACAATGAAAAACCTTCAGTGACTTCAGAAGAGGCTCAGGCTTACAGCACAAGCACTATATAAGTGCATGCATGCAGTACAGAAGCAGAATTTTGGTCATATATTTCAGAACCTCCCTATATTTTCTCAGAAGCCAAAAGAACAGATAAAACACAAAAAGCACAGGCACCCAACAAATACACCATGATCAACTGGGGGGAACCTCTTTCCTATATATAAATACAGGCAAAGATCAATAATTTAATGAAGAATGTGATAAATTCTTGCAAAAGAGTTTTGCCCACAGGCAGTGGGACTGAAACGAAGGGCTGTGGGGTTGGGTTTTTTTTGGTTTGATGTTGGACTGCATTTAGGAGTCCTCTGGAGTTTTTTCCCAGCAGATGTATTGGTGCAGAACCATAAATTAGCAATGCGTTCATGGGCGCTTTTATCCCTGCAGACATATTTTAGACACAGTCACAACAGAGTAGAAACATGAATGTGAACGTGTGTGGTATGTTAACAATATGTTATACTCTGTGGTGTAGGATCCTTATTTTTATCATCAATTTTACCAGTAGTTTTTGCACTAACAGACAGTGGAGCTGGGGCTGACTTGCTGCAGCTGTCCTCACAGCGAGCCGCTCACGGAGCAGCTCCAACTGAAAGCAACTGCATTTCTGGCACATCTGGCCAGATGCAGCTAAAGAGAGACTGGCTCCACGTCCACACAAGTTTGTTTCATTAGCTTCCATTAGTAAATTAAATAAATAAGTCATGGAAGTTGTTCTCATGAAAGCTTGCTGACTGTTTACTTACAAGTGAGCGCATACGTGACTGGAGAAGGTATTTTTGTTTCACTCACTTCAACATGATGGGGGGAATATGAACAAGCAGCAAGAGCTGAGAGCAACACTCCACGGATTTTGGTACCTTTACAATGCCAGCAAAGGTACACGTGTTTGGTTTATGTGGTAGGGCTTCCTGCTAGGCAGACTATTTTATTTAAAACAGAAGCAGGTCAGGTACTACAGCTCCAGTTAATATCCTGAAGTAGATGTACTCATCCATCAGCAACAATTCTAAATAGAAAAGTAATTAAGATTTCAGATACTGTTTATGTTCATGGGAACTATAATCAAATAAGCTGGTTTCAGGCCACTATACACTTTCACTTCCTTCAGGGACACTCGGGGTCTGTGCAACAGGCAGCAGTGCTGGAGGCAGGGTCCCTGTTCCACGTGCAGGGCACGCCTGGGGACTCTGGACTCCCGACACAGAGGGTACAACCCATTCACCTGTGCCACACAGTCACAGACTGCTTTGGGTGGGAAGAGATCTCCCAATGTCACCTCATCCAACCCCCTGCAGGGAGCAGGGACAGCCCCAGCTAGAGCAGGGTGCACAGAGCCCCGGCCAACCTCCCCTGGGATGGTGCCAGGGATGGGGCAGTGACCACCTCTCTGGGCAGCCTGGGACAGGGGCTCACCACTCTCACTGTAAAAAAATCTATCTATCTAGTCTAAATCTCTCCTCACATGTGCATCTATAGAAGCCCCTCCCTCCACTACCCCAAAGCCTTAGGTTCTGTATAGCCCACTCCTGAATAAATCTAGTTTAACACCACAGCAAATTCTGCTGCAGAACTCGCACATACACAGAGCATCCCTGCTCTCCAGAGGTGACACAGAGCAGTCCTGCTCTCCAGAGGTGACACAGAGCATCCCTGCTCTCCAGAGGTGACACAGAGCATCCCTGCTCT